ACCGCGCGGGTGGGAGCGGGGTGCGGGGCCCCGCAGCGCTGCCCTGCCTTCGGCCCCTGTTGTTGTAATGAATACGCCAGCTTCCCCGCAGGAAGCCGGGAGGAGGGTCATCTGGAGCAGAGGCTGTTTACTTTCCTTTCTTGGCTCTGGGCAGGACAGGCTATTTTTAAGCTTTTTCTCTTTTTTTGAGAGTTGTTTTGCTTCCTGAGGTCCTTCTCTCTTCTCTGTGCAAGGAGCAGGAGAGAGGCGATGCTGAGCAGGGGAGCTGCAGCTGTGCTTGGTCCCACCGAGGGCCACCATTGCTGAAGGTGGCATCCCTGAGGATCATGTTCATGGCAGTGGGTCTCTGTCTCGGAGGTGGAAACGCAAACCCTGTGGGTCACGGTCCCTCTCCTTTCTCATGCCTGGGATGTTTGACCTTCTCCAGGCCACTCCGGACTCAGAGCAGTGGCCAAATGTGCCGGCAGGACAAGCTGGGTACCAAAATCCCCGTGCAACCAGAGGCACGAGGTGGACATCCCATCCCGCAGAGAGCCATGGGTGGGAAAGCTCTTGGGTTGTCCCCAGGCAAATCAGTGACACCACTGGGGAGGGAATGCCACTGGGAACTGGGGGTCCTCGTGATTTTGCTGCCAGAAACTGTGCTGAGCCATTTCCAGCCCTCCCTTGGGGTGATGGTTCCTTGCCCAGCCCCTCGGTGCCACCTTACTGCCCGTCAGGACCACAGCGCCGGCACGGGAGGTGTTATTGGGATGGCTCGAGTTTCCTGCGGCTGTAATCATGGTTTCACAGCTCTTTCTTAGGCTTTTTGAACCCCTTTGTGTCTGGGCTTTGACCTTTTTCTCCTTTGTGCAGCAGGGCCCAGAAAGACCTGGAAAAAAGCCATTTTTGGGTGTTGTATTCAGTCCAGCCCTTCAATAAGGGCAGGAGATGGCTGTGCTCCAGAAAGACACTGCTGGTGGCGTTGGGCAGGTTTACCCTAGGCTTGGGGCACTTCGAGAGGTCTGAGGTCAAAAGAAAGGACCACGTGCAGCAGTTCCAGCATTGCCATCGAATGACCCACCAGCCGGTCGCTGATGCCAGCATTTCTTTTGGCAGTAGCGAGTGGCCGGGGGACTGAAAGGAGCTGAGATGGTGGATGTGGTTCATGCAATGAACCCTGGAGGTCAGCAGGGCTGTTTGTATCCAAAGCTCGTTATCGGGTCAAAAAGAAATCCCCAAACTACTTGGTATTGAGAAATTTCCAGAGGGATGTTTGTTAAGGAAAGATGCTCACCAGTGTTTCCTTTGCTATCGGGTTCCTTGAGAGCATTTACTTTCAAACTGTTCCTCCAGACACATCTGTCATGAGGTTATTAGGCTGCTTTGTTGAAGGGAATAAAATGAGGCTGAGCTGGCTGGCTGGAGGAGTGACAAGCAGGTTTTAAAAGCCTGAAGTGGACAAAACTGAGATCCCATCCATCAGGGAGCTAGCAGCGCCTGGCCGGGTCGTGTCCTCCGCTGCTCTTGCCCACCCGGCTTTGCTGGAGGCCGGGGAAAGGCTCCCCGTCGGGTCGTCCCTTCCGCTTCCTTTGTTTTCTTGCAAGATGCAAACTGGACTTGACTGGTGCATTGTTTTAAACTTGGGAATTTGGGAAAAAAATAGCTAAAATGTGCTTTTCTGGATTAAGGGTGTGATGGAGAAGTAAAATGATAGAGAAGTCTGTGCTGGAGAGTCTGAGCTCCAGCTCAGTTTTGGAGACCTGAGAGTTTTGGACACTTTGGAGCAGCTCTCAAGTGTGGGACTTTTTTTTAGTTAGTTGTTCTGGGGGTGCTGGTAACTAAGACTTAGATGCAGACCTGCAGTGCACGAGATGTGCCAAGCAGACGGGGGCAGAGATCGCCGCAGAGAGCATCTCGCCTCTGCAAGTGAGTGGTGACGTGGCTGGGAGGGCTCCACGGGATTCAGAAAACAGAGCAGATAAAATGGAGGAAAAACATCTTTATTTTTCTTTACTGCTTCCCTCCATCCTTCTGACAATGCCTGAATATTTTTGAGTCGCAGGACAGACCATTTTGTCACTAAGTGCACTTCATGGGGCCCTTCCTGGTTTTTACATGGTGGATGTTATGTGTTGTGCTTCGGTGCTTTCCTCTCTTCGTAGCCATAAAGCAGCCACGGTGCCATTTCCATCCGGTTAATAGCGAGGGTGAATTGCCCCGTGCGTCCCTCCCTGCCCATGCCGGCCGGGACCCCCTCACGGGGAGCCGTGGCTTCCCAGCGGTTCCTGTGCCGGGGTCTAAACCAGAGCTGGGGGGCGTGAGTGTGTGTCCATGCCCACGTCTGTCTGTCCCCGAGCACAGAGGGGCTCCCGGGTCCCCGAGCACAGAGGGGCTCCTGGGAGGGGCTTTTGAGGGGTCACTAATACAGAGCGTCCTGGGGAGGGTCCCGGTCCCAGCCTCTGCGGTGCCCGTTCTGGCTGGTTTTGCAGCCTGGCATTCATATTTAGCAGGTTTTGGGTATTCCCCCCAAAAAAAAGGAAAGCAGCCCAAAGCCTGTATCCTAACACTTTAACCCTTGTGTGCCTCCCCGTTTCGTGGCTTGTCTGACATGTGATCCCCAGCTCCGAGGGTCTTGCTTTCCTCACCAGCACCTTTGGGACCCCTCGGAGGGGCCATCGCTGTCCCCAGCCCCTGCTGCCCAGGACGGAGGCAGCCGCATCTGCTGCCTGGAGCAGAGGGGTGGCGGGTGTCAGCAGCCGCGTTTGCAATCTGCTGGCGGAGCAGAGCCGGGGCGGCTGCCACGTGGACGGCCGAGGCGGGGGGCGGCCTGCCGGGTGGACGGCCCCCCGTCCCGCCGGCTGGACCCAGCCGCGCCAGATGGCTCCTCTCCAGCGAACGGATGTGTCCGAGAGATGGAGGGTCCCTGGGTCCCCAGGCCCCCTGGCCCTGCTCCGGGGGGTCGGAGCAGCCCCGCGGAGCAGAGGATGTGCTTCCTGCGTGGTGGCTCTTCTCCAGCTCCACCCCAGGGGTGGCTGGGGTGGGTGGGCGACCCTGGAAGAGGGAAGGCTGTGCTCCAGTCTTCCCCCTCCCTGCACCCCCACTCCTGGCATCCTGTGTGATCTCAAGCCCAGGTTTTGAAAGGCTAAATCTCGTTGATATTGTCCTGTTGATGTAAAGGATGGGTGAATTCATTACTGATGCTTGTGCTGGTCGTCAGCAGCATAGCCGCCCCACGCTGAGGCTGTCACCACGCTGGCTCAGCCTTGCTTCATGGGGCTGCTTTGGGACCCCCGGGCTGTGCCTCATCCTGTCCCGACCCCGCGCCTGGCTGGGTGCTGGGGGGCATGGGGGTGTGGGCAGCCTGTGGCATTTGGATGGGATCCAGCAGTGGTTCTCTGTGTTTCCCCCCCTTCCCGTGAAGTTCAGCCCTTCGTTTCCAGCTGGCTGGCTCCTGTGCGGAGCAGGGGGTCTGATGGGCTTAAGGGCTTCTACTCCTTTAGCGAGGTCTGGCTGGAGCGGGATGGGAAGCGCTGCGTGGGGGACACGTGGCCGTCCAGGTGTGAGCCAGGGCGCGGTCAGGCAGCTGGGACGGGGAGCATCCCTCCACAGATGGAGGCCTCCTTTGGTGATGCTTTGTGCCCCCGAGCTGAGGGGTCTGACACCAGCATCCGTCAGGTTTCCTTAGACACGTTCCTGGCTCGGGGGGTTTGGGGGTTTCATTCTTGCGCAGCCTGCCTGACCGGGGAGCTCTGCGTGCTGGGGGGACCCGTGTGATGGGCAGACCCGAACGACGGGCATTTGTCTGAGTGCCGCTCCGCTGTGCGGGGGTGACCTGTGCGTCTGCTCTACTGCAGCTGAGAGTGCGGGGGCAGGTCCTGTGCGGTGCTGGGGCTCGATGAAGATTGGACTCTGCTGCCTCTTCACGCGTAAATTGGAACATCCAATCTGATGTCGCTTCTGTCTCTCTTTGCCTCCTGACTTCCCCGTTGGTAAAATGGGGATGATGATGTTCAGGTTTTAGGATGTCCCTAAGGCCTCCCAGTTGGTCCCTTCCTTGCATTGGGGTCTCATGTCAATGTTTTGAAAGCACTTCAGTCTTTGGCCCAGGTGATCTCTAGGATTGTTTTCAAGGATATGAGCTTCTGTGGCTGCCACCTTTATGTTGCTGCACTTGTATGGATTTGGTGCTCTCCTAGGATTGATTTCACATTCCTGACTTGGATTTCGCTGGTAGCGCTCACCGGGAAGCCTGTGTTTGTCTGCTCATCCTTCGGATGCGAGGAGGAAAGGGAGGTGTTGGGAGATGGGTTGTTGGCTGCCACCGAGTCCTGTGCCGCGCTCTGCTCTGCCGTGCCACAATGGGGCCTTCTGCTCCCCTCTGAGCACGCATGGGGTGCGGGTGGGATGGAGGGCAGCGTGGGGATGGTTTCTACTCTGGGGTTGAATTTCCTGGCTCTGGTTCCAGTTTTGTTACTGGGTTTCTAACTTGCCTGAAGAGGCAGAGCCTGGCCCTCAGTCCCCACTTGCTTTAAATGGGTTTATGAACCCTCAGGTGGAGGAGCAGGAGTGGGGTTATGAGCCTCAGGCAGTGTCTGTAAGCCTCTCTTGGGATGCTCAGGTGGATGGTAACTAAATTCTGAACTCCTTTTCATGTTTTTCAGCTCTGAAAAGATCTTTTGAGGTCGAGGAGGTAGATCAATCTTCAAATTCCTCCACCCCACAAAGACGGACCCCGAACCCCCTCCTCAGGTCCACTGTGTCCAGCTCCACACAGAAGTTTCAGGAACTCGGCGCCAGGAATTCGGAGCCATCCACTCGACATGTGGACCCCGCAGGCCAAAGATCACCCAAGCCCTCTCTGAGGAGAGTGGAGCTCTCTGGACCCAAACTGCCCGAGCCGGTGTCCAGAAGAACAGAAATCTCCATTGACATCTCATCCAAGCAGGTGGAAAACTCCACCTCAGGGTTGTCGAGGTTTGGCCTCAAAAGAGCAGATGTGCTGGGGCACAAACCCCCGGAGCCCACCCCAAGGAGGACTGAGATCACCCTCGGCAAGCCCCAGGAGCCGGGTCTCCGGAGGGTGGAGGCGCCAGCATCAAAGATCCCTGAGATGCCCCAGCGGAGAGCTGAGACAGCCAGCGCTCCTGTGCCCGACACGGCCACCAAGCGCGTGGAAATTCAGGTAGCGAAGGCTGCCGAGGTCCCAGCCCCACCGGCGCGGCAAGTGGAGAGCTCGGAGCCTCCCCTGGCCACCCAGCCTCCCCAGGCAGAGCCAAAGCCGCAGCCGGCGCTGATGGAGAGCCCACCAAAGAGAGAAGAAGGTGAGTACAGCTCCGGGCGGCTGCTTGGGTGAGACGCTGGCTGATACCTGCCTTCGTCCCTTGCTGCGGGCTCAGAGCCCGTGCGGGGATGCTGAGTGTTGTACGCTGCCCTTTTGGTTCTGGTGGTGATGCCTTTCGAGGCTGGTCTTGCATCTGTGCTCAGATGTGTCTACATACATGGCTGTTATCTTTGGGTTTATCCTGGCTGAAAGAGCTGTCAGTTTGAATAAAAAATGCTATCAAGCCTATAAGGAAATAAAAAAGAAAATGCCAAAAGCCTGGGTGCTTGCAGAAAATGACAATTCTGCCAGCTCAGGCCCCGTGTGCGGACACACCCGCCTGTGCAGCATCTAGAAAAGCCTCTGAGGTGCTGGAGAGGCGGTGGTTGTGGAAGCATTGTTGTGATGGCTTGTTGTTCGCCTCTTCATTAGCGGGAGTCAGGGTTTTTTGGCCTTGGAGCCAAAGTCTAATAACATGGACCAGAGCCACTATTAAACTGGAGCCCTGGCTTATATTAGCTCTATCTTGTTTTCGATTAATCCTGTATTAAAGCCAGCTTCCCTCCCCCACCAGCCGTCATTTATTCTCCCTGATGTTTTGGAGATTTTTTTTTTTTCCTCTTCTGGCCTGTTAATTAATTTTCTGTTCCCCATCACCCACGAGCTCTCTCCTGCGAGGGATGCAGCGGTCAGTTGGAGGGCACCACCTCCCCACCCTGTGCCTCTCCCCAGGGGTTGTGGGATGGCATGTGGTGGCCAAGCCAGGACCTGGGAGGTCCATACCTGGCCCCGGAGCTGGACTACGCACCCTTGTCTCGCCCCACCATGGGATGGTCCCCTGCTCCATCTCCTCTCCCCGGTCACAGGGCAGTAACTGGGTCTGCGGAGAGGCCAGGTTTTGGGGTGTGTGCATGGTCTAAAATCAAATTAGGAGTCAGTGGTGGAGCTGATATTGAACCCGTAAGACTTGAGTGGGTTTCTCTCACTGTGCATGTGTATGGCTTAGGTGTGGCTTTTCTAAGCTGGGTTTTCAAGAGTGGACAAACGCCTCCAGCAGGGAGCAGGTTGGTCCAACTCCAGCTGGGCATGGCTGAACTCTAAGACCCAGCCCAGTGATGGGGTTCAGCCTGGGTCTCCCTTATGGGCTCTCTGTCCCCAGCCGCCACGTGCATGGTGCCCAGGAGGCCCATCTTCTCCCGTGGGTGGGTACTCGGCCTCACCCTGCTGGGTTTGGGCTGCTCTGAGCTTCTTCCCAAGCTCTGAATGGTGGATGGTTGGGCACTTTAAGAGCAGAAGACCATCTAAGCTGCTGAATCCCCCAGCTGCCTGGGGGGGAGAGGGAGGGCCCTTTGCAGCAAAAAGGACTCCAGAAGCCCAGGACAGCTGCTGGGGATGAGTTTTACCCAAGAGCCCAGCTGTCTGGGGTCTGCCTTGCAGAGCGAGCCAGCCCTTGGTACTGGTACAAAAGGGGCTTTCAGTCTAAATGTCTCCAAGAAGAGCCAGGAGACAAAGTACAAGGGGTAGGGAGGGCTCCGGCTCCTCCTTCCTCCGTGTCAGCACGGACGGACAGCCCAGAGTCACTGCCAGAGCCCGTGTCCCCTTCCCAGTTATCTCCAACTTCCTCCATCACCATGACTCGAGGTTGCCCTGGGCTGCTGTCATGCAGGACCCTGTTTCAGGGCACGCCTCCGCTTGGTCCACAACACCCACCCTGGAGTGATGCTGGGCAGGTGGATGGCATCTTTCCTTGTCGTTGGTGTAAGCACATGGAGGAGTTTTGGGGAGGCTGCGCAGGGACCCTCAGGGAGCCCTGTGGATGGGTGCAGACATGTTGCTGACGCTCGCCAGCTCCACTGCAGCTCTGGCCCCACCACAACCCCCCAAGTGAAAATGCTGGCTCCCTGATGTCTGCAGCAGAGGCAGCACGTGGCATGAAGTCCTGCTCTCTCTCGCTGCTCCCAGGGTTTGGGGCACCCGAGAGATGCTCCCATGGCACTGGGTGCCCCTCGATCCCGTTGCTCGGTGGCTCTCCAGCGCAAACAGCTGAGCAGGGGATGCAGACAGCTGCCTCCAGCTGCCCTCAGCCCTGTGCTGGGACTTGCCTTCCCCCAGCTGCCGGGGCCCAGCTGCCTTGCCCTTAACCTCTCGTCCTGCTGCCGAAGGTATGCAGGAGAGCGTGTTGTGCAGGAAGAGGCCGGTCGGAGAAGGGCAATTGCCGAGAGCTCGGCAGTTCAGAGCAAACCACAAAGGAAAGGAATAATTATAGTGCTGAGCTTCGTTAGGGCGGCGTGGCTGGTGGTGTGGGCTGAGCCCGCTCTGGAGCCGTGGTTCTCAAGGTGGGAGGAGGGTAGGAGGTGTCTTTGTGGGGCAGAAGAGCAAGAAATATTCCTCCCCATCCCTATTCTCCCTCTTTGAGTCCTTCTCACGCTCTCCTGCACTCCCTGGGGAGCATTGGCTGCGCTTCTGCAGGTTTAACGCTGAGTTGGGCCATTGGTGATAGGGAAACGGGACGCGGGTGCACATCACGGGTGCGATGTACCACTGCACCAGCATCCTGGGCAAAGCTGGACTTCATGTCCCCAAGGTGGCTGGTGCTCCCCAGCTGGGACAAGGAAATGTGATGGGATGACTGGGCGACATGGATTGCTATAGTCAGAGTCGTCCAGAGAAATCTGAGCAGGGTTGTGCAGTGGGTGTAGGCAAGGGGAGAATACGCAAAGGGCAGAAAGAGGCACAAGCAATTAAAAATAAACATAAAAAAAAGGTGAAGGGAAGTGCTGTTTCTGAACCCGCAGCCTCGGAGACTTCAGGAGTCTGTCTTCACTGTGTAGGACTTACCAAATCTTAATATCCAAATATGACCACCACCCGTGGGTGGTGATAACCTCTCCCGAGCTCCTGCCGTGGGCAGCGGTTCACTCCCAGCCCTGGGGCACTGGCCCAGGCTGGAGCTGGCGGCTGAGGCCGTTCCTGCCTTTGCGCCGGGAGGGCAGGTCTGAGCAGGGCGTGCGGTGCCCGCCCCAGCGTGGCCGGAGCTGGTTCCACGCTGAGGAGCCGGCATGGCAGGAGGGGGCTGAGGCAGGTGGCTGTGCCCCCGGCTGCCTGGGCTGCCATCCTGCTGCCTTTGCGGGACCGGTGCGGTGGCCGGGTCCTGCTTCGGTGACCCTTGCTGGCGTTGCAGCCGGTGGGGTGCTGGCTTGCTCAGCCCCCATCGCCTCCTGCTTCTGACCCTCTTCCTCCTCCCTGGCTTGCTCTGAAGCAGTGGCTTTGCCTGGGATGTCCCTCACGGCCCTGGGCAGGGGGGCAGCCTCACCAGGCTCCTTTCCACCATGGCAGGCTGAGCATGGCTGCCCAGGAGAGGAAAGGGGAATCGTTGTGAGAGCAGCAATACTTCATTTGGAGACATCCGCTGGCCCTTCACAAAGGAGGGATCTTGAGGGCTCTCCCCGAGCTGGATGTGGGGCAGGCCAATCCTCAGGAAGAGCCGTGTTGAGCCCATCATGGCTCATCCTGCCGCGTCCTCCTGCCTGAGCGTCCCCTTCCACTGGTGCCTCCCGTCGCTGACGCTGTGCATGTGTGGTTGAATGCCATGTTCTTCTGTTGTTCCTTGCAATCCGGTGGTGGTCGGGGTCAGGGGGGAAGGCATTGTTGGTCCCAGAAAAGTTAACGTTTTCCTCGTCAGTTTAATACTCCATCTCGGCTCCCCCCAGATCTGAACCTGTTTGTATTTGTGGGGAAGGCTCAGTGCTGGGATCTCAGGTGACACATGAGGAGCGATCCCAGATGAGAAATGGAAGCCAGTTTGATCTGATGATCCTTTTTGTCTCTGACACAAGCTGCTGCGGTCACGTTGCCCCAGGGACGGCACACTGCCAGCAAGGCACGCTTTCCACCGTGGCTCTGCTGCCTGCTCCTGCCCTCGCCCCATTTTCCTGCTCTTGGCAACTGGTAGGGCCACAGTTCTCCTCCCTCAAGGTCCTTTCTCGCAAGGATGCCCAGGAGCTTGGTTAGATAAATCAAGGCAGATATAATGAATAATGGGAACCTTCACTTAAAACAGGGACTTGACCTTCCTCTGCAATGTCACATCCATCAGCCTGGATTAAGCGCGTCTCTGCACTGATCCACAGTGATGTGCAAAACGGTCTGAACCATGTCTGAGCTTCCAGCTTTTTGGAGTCTTTCTCTCATTGCTGCCTGATGCCCCCCCTTTGGGACAGCCATGCAGGGTGCCAGGCGCCTTGTAAAAAGCAGCAGGGTCCCTACTTCTTTTGCTGCACAACAAGCAAGGGGACATCAGGAGGGTGAAGCAATTCAACTTTTTCACTTTTTTTTCCAGCCTTGGGACCCCTATGGAAAGCCTTTTCTTTAGAACTTGCTATTTTAAAGGCTCCCGTAGAGTTGAGCTAAAATTAAAAAAAAAAAAAAAAAAAAATAAAGTGAGCAAGCTTTCAGATCCACAGAGCTCCTTGCGAAGGCCGTATCCGAAAACCAGGGACCCGTTGCTGTGTGCTGGGGAAGCTGTGGTGGAGGCTGCAGCTCAGTGCTCCCCCAGACAGCCTCAAGCCTCCATCCCGCCATGGACACCCAGGGATGGAGAAGCAAAGCCGCCCGAGCTTCGGGGCGACTTTTCTTCTGCGCTGTCCTGCAAGGGTGACGCCGAGCGCGGGGCTGGGCTGCCTTGCTGGAACTGGGGGTTTAGAGGGATTTGAATGACTATTAACGCAATGAAGAAGCCAGAGCTGGAGTGGAGATGCAGTGAGTAATCATTTCCAGCTCCCTGAGCTGCACAGTAATTTAACTGTACAAAGAGATTAAAGCTGTAGAGAAACATTTCCTTAAAACTAGCTGACACATTTGGGCTAGATTATGGGTAGTCTTTTTTGTTGTTGTTGTTGTTATTATTTTTAACGGGAAGGTGCCTACAGCCCGAGATACCAAATGGAGGGGCTGAGTGAGAAACACGGACTCCCAGTTTGTGAACTCAGGTGCCAAAAATGA